CCCCCCCCCCCCCCTTTTCCCTTTCCCTCTCTCTGTTTTCCTATAATGTAATTTTTTTTTGCTATCTGGGTATTTACACAAGGATGATATTTCCCTAAATCTCTGGTTTACTCGAGATTTAAGCTTATTTCAGTGTTTTGTTCTCTGTTGACTGGTGTTTTCCTTCCACATCCACGTATTGACTGTTCTGAGGTCTCATTTTTGTATTGTTTGCCCTGTTTGCAAATACATAAATAAATAATTTTTTTTTAAATGGAGACACTGTAGATTAAAAAATAGTTTCTTGGATTGTAGTACCAACCATTCAATGTTATAGTTTATCTCTAAAATATTCTCCTTTTTCAGATGCTGCTATGAGAGCAGTTGAATCCTTCATGATCTTGTCCATTATCTTCTGCTGTTTTGCACTGATTGCATTCATTGCACAGCTCTTCACACTGGGTAAAGGATCTCGCTTCTACATCACGGGAGCTCTCATGCTTTTCTGCTGTGAGTATCAATATAAACTGTTTCACTGTTTCACTGTACATGATCATAATAACAATAACTATAAACAGATGTACTTTCCAATAAAACTTGAGAACTTTGCATTTACATTGAAATTACACAGCTGACCTACTGAATTGTCATAATTTTTATCTAGCTTTATTAGGGATTGTATTAGGCATTTCCCTGTTCCTTTTAAATGACCCTAAATCTGAGCATGTAAAATGCTTTAAAACCTCTACAACTCATGAAGGTAACCACAGCCCACACTACAGCTTCGCCCAGGGTCATAAGATGTTGCTTTGTGGACTTTCAGGATTTAGCACTGTGGCAGTTTCTGGAAATCATTACTAATTTATTACTGATTTTACTTATTGCCCAGGGTTGCCTATCAACTATAGGCAGCAGATTTTTGCTCTTATAAGTGTGTAGTGTTTACCCCCAAAGGAGCCGCTGGATATAACGGACAATTCTGTCTCACCTCTGTGATGAACCACTTGTCATGGATCTACAGCATACCAGCACACCTTGTGAGGTTTTGTAAAAGCTTTACTAGACAAATAATGTACTAATCTAATAGGTGCATAAACATGAGAAACAATAGCAAATGAATGTACATACAAAGTAATCATTTTAGGTATTCAGACACACTGTAGCCGAGGCTATCTATCTGCATTTACACGTAATACTGAACTGACTAACATAACTCTGTCAGGAGATAGCAAACTGTAGAGGCAAAGTCTCAGGCCACACAGACCCGAGTCTTTAACCTACTGACCAGTGGTATTTGACTAGACTGTGTCCTGTGGCTTGGCCACGTTGATTGGAGAAAGGAGGCGTCCCCCCTCTCCAGCCAACTGTTTCCCAGGTTCCTGCTGCAATAGCTTGTGCCTCACAGTAGCAGTAGTGGAGCTTGCAGCATGCCTCTCTATCTAACTATTGTCTCTTCCTGTCTGCACACTACAAATCCCACAAGTTCCTGCTGCCTGGATCCCAGACAGAGTTAACCAATCAAGTCACTCTCCAGTCCTCAGCACTATCAGCATAAGCCCTGGCTGCCGTAGTTAACCCTTTGCAGGGAGGAGTGCTCCAGCAATATAGCAGCTATGCCTGGGCTACAAGTGGATCCTTCCTCCATTAGAATGCAGTCTTACTCCTGTATTACAAAGCCCATATTGGTAGTCTGGTAGACCTACATAGATTTTAACTTTGGAAACCCAAAATAATGCAAAAAATATATGGTGAATCTACCTAAAAATACATATTTAAGATAATTGATATCCAATTCTTTCTCATTCACAGGGCTCTGTATCCTTATTGGAGTTTCTATCTATACAGCCAGATTTGCAAATGCCAATGCAAACTTTTACCATGCATATTGCTTTATTTTGACGTGGATCTGTTTTTGCCTCAGCTTTATACTTGGAATTCTCTATATGGTCCTGCGGAAGAAATAATTATGCTACATATTTCTATCAACCCTACTGCCTGTGAACTTTAACTTTAAAAACAACCCCCAGGCTTGCCAGTACCAGAACTGCTCCATCATGATGGTACAGTTAGCAGGGCAAATTCTGTGGGTTACTTCTATGAGAGTCATAGAAAAATGTGTAATGTTTAAAATAAATCTATATTCCTTTTAAGAGTAAATATTGTAACAAAAAATAGGGAAGTTGTTCAATCACTTTGATTACAAGTAGCAAAAATATTGCTGTTCAAATTTCTTTACATAAAAAACAGGCATAGCTAGAATTATCTGTAATGACAACACTGCGATTTATTTCGAAAAAAAACGTCTTTATATTTTAACTTATTTGAATTGTATTTCAAAAATGTAGCTAGGTAAAATGTATTAGGTTGTGTATTGGGGACACTGAGTGGCAGCCTCTTAGTATTACACATTTAGAATACAAGAATACTTAATTGCCAAAAGAATTGCACAGCAAAAGTGTAACTGTATTTTGATTTTTTACATTTGTCATGTTAAACCTTAATGTGTTATGTAAAATCAGATAATACAGAGGGTCCTGTGTCTGTGTCTTATATATAAATATGTTTAGATAGTATTCTTAAACATTTATAATATAAAAAATACAGTAAATGCTATCTATGAAACACGTGTATGTTACTTTTGCACTAGTTACATCAAATATTAATTGGTGCTGTTCTCTAAGAAACCCAATTATTTAGGGTACTGTTGTATTGCAGCCCATCTGAGCTAAAATCCAAATAATATATCAGCCACCTTTTAAAAAAGTCAAGGCTTTACACACTTGGATATAGAGTAATGAAAAGCTTATGCTTAATAGACTGGGCAGCGCTGCAACTTCTTTTTATTTAACAGCTCTATCCTCATCCATACATTCTGATTAGAAGAAGCAGCATAGCTCTGATCTTCCCATCCTTTTACTTCTCATACAAGCTGTCCAAGACAGGCAAGCTACTAAAGAAGGTGAAATCAAAACGTACCAACAAAATCATAAAAGGACAGACCGTTTTTGCATGAATTATGAGAGAACCCCGGTATAACTGTTGCATCAGAGCATAGGGACTTTTAGTGATAACTCTGGATGGTCTTCACCTATATTTAGCCAGATTTGATAATCATAACACAAATAATCTCCTACACTACTATAAATTCAAAGTATAACTTTTAAGGCTGGATAAGTGAATACAAACAGCTGCATAATAAAAGATAAACAAAAACCTGTTCCCACACATGCTTTTGAAAGAATCCTGTGGAAGCCATATTTTGTGAACTTTTATAATTGATCTTAAAATTACCATTCCATATTAGAGCTATGTAGCACTGATCTTTTGGTTTGATCTTCTGCTTAGTGTAGTTTAGACCTTCTGCTTAGTTTAGTGTAGCGTACTTATTTTCATGGCTGGGCACCACCACAACGAGGTACTTCCTGCATGTTTGGTTTAAAAATAAGTTGCAAAAATAATTTTTCTCTATTCACACTATATTTACAGTAGCAGAAGATATGAAAACAACACTGGGTGCCAGCAGTGGATAAGCCTCTAGAATTTTTTTTCTGTTTAGATTGACTAAGCCCTATTTTTGGACGGTTGTCATTCTTTTCAACAAAATGAATAAGACTTGCATATATGTAAACAGCAAACATTGTTTTCCAGGTTATAATTCCATGAGTCTTTAGATGAACTCAGTGTGTGCAGATAAAAATATTTTTCTCCCAATATCACCAAAGTTCTCAGGTATATAAATAGACCTAGGATTTTCCTTTCTGAATTGTATTTTACTACTAATGGCCATTGTATATTGCATGAGGGCTATTGCTTCACTTGGAATTAAAATTAACGTACTTTATTTACTAACTGTAAATATTTTGATACAGCATTAAAAGTCTCCAGAGAACACAGTTCGGCTTTATTCAACACAATGTGCCTGTGTTTTTATTTATCTTCTGTATACATGTTTCTCTTTTTTCCCCCAAATTCAGTGTATTTTACAATTATGTGTTAGGCCCCTTTCACAGTCAGTTCTGGTCAGCAGCTCTGATGTGCTGATTGGAGCAGTATAAAATGGATGTCACAGGTGATGTGTTTCTGAGCTGCTCTCAGACTATTTACGACAGGGACCATTTGGAACAGGACCTCATCAGATGTCCTTTGCAGAACCTTCTAGTGGAAGCTTATGGAGCCCAGCATTACTTCTAAGTACATTACAAGAAGCTTGTTCTTTGTCAAATGTGTGCCACCTTCCATGAATGTTTAGCACAGACATGAAAGTTAAATCTGACTGACAGTCTTTGTTACTGTCTCACAAATTTAGTGGAAAGTGAGGGTGTTCAGCTACTCCACTCTGAGGAAGCCTGAGATTCGGGCCCTGGGGCCACACACATCGGACACAGTCCCGGGCCGAGTGAGTGATGTTCTTTCTCAGAGTGAGGGGGCATTGTGTACCGCAGGCTATATAACCAACAAGTGAATATAAAAAGTGCACTGCGGTATGAGGGTTAAAACTTTCATTATAAACCACTATATAAAATGTGCAAACAAATACAAATGAGTGCATTAATCCATCCACTGTTAGGGACCCTGCCATTTCTTGTTTAACCACTTGAAGACCAGGGTGTTAAACCCCCTTCCTGTCCAGGCCATTTTTCAGATTTCAGCGCTGCAGTACTTTGACTGACATTTATTCCGTCATGCAACGCTGTTCTGAAATTAATTTTATACCATTTGGGGACAGATAGAACTTTCTTTTGGTGTATATGGTGTAATATAAAAGTCAGGGTCACGTCGCGTAAATAGACACCAAACATGTCAAGCCTTAAAATTGCGCGCGCGAAGTCGCAGAAAACAACCACACCCAAACTTGGCTATAGGCGATGCTTTAAAAGCTTTTACCACTCATCAGTTTAGTGTTATCAGTGATTAATGGCCCTAAAACTATTGCTCACACTCCGACGTTCGCGGCGATGTGTAACATGTGTGGCACAATAGGCAGAAAAGTCATTTTCGCACGTAGGTGCACCCGATGCATGTTTGCCTGTCTATGTGGGGGGGGGGGCAGGGGGAATTTTTAAAACATTTCTGTTATTTAAAAAAAAAATATTTGACTATTTTTTAATGCTTTTTTCCTTTTTTTTTTACACTTAACTTTATTGCTATCACATAGTCACATAGGGGGCTAAGAAACCCCTATGAGATAGCCAATTCACAAAGCAGGTCCTCTTTATGGAGACATCAGGGGTCTCTAAGACCCCTAATGTCACCTAGGGATGCCCAGAGAAGCTGATGAAGCAGAGAACATTTGTGTGCCCCAGATCTTTCACAATCCTAGCAACACCTCTGGGATATTATATAAAGAGTTTGTATTTTATCATGATTGTAAGTAGGGATGCACCGATACATATTGGCCGAAAATAGCTCTTTTGGGGAAATGCCGAAACAACAAAAAATTTGCCGATAATGACCCACCTCCCCTGCCCGCCCACAGTACAAGCTCCAAACACTGCCCACCAATCTGAAGCCCCCGCCACCTGCTGTGACTCTGCCCAGACCCCACTTGGACTGACCTGACTCTTCTGTGTGAGCGGCGAAAATCCTCCTGTCCTGTACAGTGCAGGTATATCAATATTAATACCCAGGAATAGATGGCCACATTGAAAATGAGAGATGGAGGGGGGGTTAGTGGGGTCGGCACATGGCATAGCTATGAATTCCTTCAGGCCCGCTCCTCTAATCCCCAGTTATTTGCTGTGCTTACAATCAGCTCCTGGCGGATTTTGCGGCCGGCAGCTGTCTTTTACTTTGTTCCAGCCTGGATGTCTTCTGCTCCCCCACATCACCCCATTCCCAAGACCCCCCCAATCACACCTCACCATCTCCCGCTGGCCGCTCCACTGCCTCTGCTCACTCCGCTTCCAATCAGCAGAGGACTGGACCTGAATGAGTAAGTTCTCCTTCAGGTCCGCTCCTCTGCTGACTGATAGCAGACAGTGGGCGGGTCCAATAGCCAATCGCAGGTTGGCTATTGCATCTTGAAATAGCCAATAGCAGGTTTGCTACTGTTTTCAGTCACTGCAGTTGTAATGCTCGCCTAGGGCGAGGGTCAATCCCCTCCGTGGGTCACAACTGCGGACGAAACAAGGGTTGTAGGAACGGGTATCAGAATAACAGCTACTCCTTGACTTGCCCAGTTTTGTAATGTGTAGGCGGTTAGGAGGCTGCAAACATCACGCCCCGTTTGTAATACAGGTAACAGTAATAAACAGACTTGGGGATATCTGTCTATATCAGACTGCTGCATGTACTGACTCAAGTAAGTTATTTAACACACTGATTCAATA